ATCTAGACTCTACTGAGCCCTCACGCCAGCCTCGGCTTGGCCCTGGAGGTGTGAGATCTTTTTGGGATGGCTGAGCCTGGGCCCAGCAGCCACAGTGAGCACTTGCTGTCCAGGAAGTAACCAACAGCACGAGGTGAGGGTGGCTGGGCTGCCCAGAGCGCACCACACGGCAACACCCATCTAGAACAGGCTGCTGGCTTCTGAGTCCCCTTTGGGAACTCAGGGGTCGGGCTCTCTGGGGCTGGTTCCCTGGTCGGGGACCAGATCGGGGACCAGATCAGCAGAAACCTCCTCTCTCCCTCCCAGGTGGCTTCAGCAGATTCCAGGCTGAGTGCCCTCAGCTGTGCGAAAGCAGCCTCAGTAGCCGTGGTGGAGCCAGCATGGCCATGGTGCCCAGCCCAGTGGTGGGGCTGGGCAACCTGTGCCTGGGTTCTGACTGCTCCGACGGGGAATCCGAACCTGACCGAGACTCCCTGAGCTGCAGCCTGGATTCCGAGGGTGCCACGCCCCCCCCATCGGGGCTGATACCATCCTTCCCGGTCCAGATCCTGCCCAACCTCTACCTGGGTTGTGCCCGAGATTCGGCCAACGTGGAGAGCCTGGCCAAGCTAGGCATCCGCTACATCCTCAATGTCACCCCCAACCTCCCTAACCTCTTTGAGAAGAATGGCGACTTTCACTACAAGCAGATTCCCATCTCGGACCACTGGAGCCAGAACTTGTCCCAGTTCTTTCCTGAGGCCATCGCGTTCATTGGTGAGTCCTCCCTGCCCTCCCCTTTCTCCCTCCTCCACCAGACCTGGCTCCTGGCCTCTCCCATCGCTTGCCCCTCTCCCTCATGAGGGCTCTTCCCGGGCTCAGCTGCCATCCCCAGATCCCAAAGCCAGGATGGCACTTGTGGGGTCAGGCAGCGCTGGGGCCAGGAACTCTCGGGCCGGGCAGGGCTCCCAGGCCAACCTGGTCAGGGCCACCTGGCTTGGAGGGTAGGACGGGGTGGGGGCTGCGAGCACCCCTCCGGACTGAGGCCTGCCCCTCACTCTGCCCCCCACTCCGCCCTGCCTAGATGAAGCCTTGGGCCAGAACTGCGGGGTGCTTGTCCACTGCCTGGCGGGCGTCAGCCGCTCCGTCACCGTCACCGTGGCCTACCTCATGCAGAAGCTCCACCTCTCCCTCAACGATGCCTACGACCTGGTCAAGCGCAAGAAGTCCAACATCTCGCCCAACTTCAACTTCATGGGGCAGCTGCTGGACTTCGAGCGCAGCCTGCGGCTGGAGGAGCGCCGTGCC